TATATTTATAATTTAATATATACATTTTTTATTTTTTTCTTTATAATTTTTCTCTCTCTATTCGGCAGCTTCAGCAATAGTAACAGCATAAACTAAATTTCGGGCTCAGACCCAAGCTTCAGGCTTTTTTTTGAGGGTCAGACTCGAGCCCAAATTGTAAGCTCAATGGTCAAGCTGGACTTGGGCTCAAGCCTTAGAAAAATCTATTAATACAGAGTGAAAACCCAGCCCGAGCCCAACCATAAACCGGTCTAGTCCTGAGCAAATCCCATCACCTTTTTAGAAAATGGTAGAGACTTTCAAAATCTATGGCCAGGATCAGTATAGCTCAACGGCCATGATCATGCCCTTTTGTCTTTTACCTCAGATTGTTTAGACCGAGTAACACTAGTCTTTGAGATTAGTGGTATCAGAACCCTTCAGATCGTTTAGACCCAGTGGTATAGTCACCCAGTGATTCAGAAAAGCCATCAGAATGGGAATGGGCTGAGATTGAGCAATTGCATCGACTTGAAAATTTTCATGAGATGCAACCATTCAAATGGACTTTGGATGGTTGGATCTATCGAACAAGAGTTTGAATGGGACAATCCCCAACAATTTGTTTCTATTAAAGAAAATGGAATTTTTGGATCTTTTTTATATAATACTAGTGAGGGGCGCCCGTGCTAAGTACGGGCGAATAATACCGAGTAATTGAGAGAATGAAAAATAAAAAAAAAAAAGAATAATAAAAGTTGTGGTAGTGGGATTGAAGGTTGGAGGCTTTATTTTCTTCAAAGAGTCTTGTTTTCATCAATCCAGAGATTGTAAGCGGAAAAACAACCCTACACACTTACATTTAATTATCGTATCGAGTCCATTTAGTTTTCAGTCCTAAATTATCCTATTTTGGTAGAATTTTTAAGATAAATTCATGTTTTTTTCTTTTGTATTGTCTATGCTACTTTTTATCCTTTGTTTAGGGTTTGGTTTATACAGCTGTGGTGGGAGTTCAGAAGATAATATTGATTTTATTCTCTATGTTCTAACTCCCAACCAAGTTATAAGTGTAGCCAGAAAATAATGATGTTTTTCTATTTCATCTTTGTTGTCATTATGGGACTGTATTTAGATTAGAAAACACAAGATCATGACTGGATGGTCTTTCTGACAAAGTCTAGTTTCAAAGAGCACTATTTTATATGGATGTTTTACTTATAATTTGACTTGCACTTTAAAGAATCACACTTGGATGATAGGTCTGGAAACTCATTCGAACCTTCTCTTATTGGATGCAACTACATTGGAGCATATGTAAGAAACAAGAAGAATCAAAATTAGGCAATGTGTTGATGAAGAAGTAAAGTATCCATTCATTCAAAGAAAAAGATCGAAATGTACAACAAAGGAGAATGCAAAAAAAAAAAAAAACATTCAAAAAGGGACCTATAAAAGGAACTGTTAATATTCAGTTGTACCACAGACCAAAGAGTAAGGTTACTCCAGATTCTCACTTCATCCTCTTGACATCTTTTGTTTTGGAATATCCTTGAGTTTCTTTTTTGCCAAATCGACCAGAAGTCCCTCACTATCTCTCAAGAGAAAATATGGTTGAATATTGATCAAGACCATCCAACCTTGGATATTTTCAAAAGATAAAAAGTAATATCAAAGAGAACCAAAATAGATAAACCCGAAAACATATTACAGATATATGAATTCTGAAAAGCAATTAAAGAACACTAAATCTTATTAATGGGTAATGAAAGGCACCCACAACACAAATCGCAACAACAGAGAGAGACCTTATTACATAGGGAATTTCAGGGCCAAGGAAAGATCATACAACTTATGAAGAACAAAGACCTGGCACTTATGTGGAAAGATCCTGTAAGCTTGGAAAACAGAGATCATACCCATGTGCTTTACTTGATGACCCATAAAAGAGATAACCTATAAAATGAATCTCTAGATTTTATATTTTAACCATTGTAAGATTTCATGCTCCTCTATAAGAACTGAACACTTGTTCTAATCTACAAAAAGAAAAAAGAAAAAAAAATAATGACTGAATTCTCTATTAAAATGCTAATAATCCAAGTTGTCATTTATATTACGAAATGTTTGGTAATCAGAAATTCTCATCATCCCAAGTTACAGTTTCTTTAGGAGGAGTATTAGGTGGTGGGGTTTCATTGTCATGGTTTTTCCTCTGTTATAAGCCTATAACAAATCAATATAAATTATAAGCTTATATGAAAACTTTCAAACTATGCCGTTAAATAGCTAGTAAATAAAAGTAAGGAAATAGTACTTTAGATTACAGAACTAAATCTACAAAGTTAAGTATTAGTTTAGATTATAAATATAACAAAGTTATAAATAACTCCTAGCAAATTAATAAGTAAATATACTTTAACAATGCTAATATGGTGGGTGTTAAATCAAATAAAGGAAGAGAGAAAATGAGTTAGGGAGAGGTACCTTAGATTGAATTCATAACTCAATTAAGGTGTTCCAATTGAGCCAAGCAATGTAGATAACTTGCAAAAACAAGGAAGGTCAAATAGTGCAAAAATAAATAAATAAATAACTCGGCAAATTAAATATAATGGGTATTTCCAAAGTTTGCATAAAACTGTGAAATTGAGGTTGTATCACACCTTTATGATACAACCATAACTCAACATGAAAGAACAAACTTAAAAATTTTGATGGAACTTGAATTCATAACTACATTGAGGAGTTCCAATGAAGCCAAGCAATGCACATAGCCTGCAAAAATTGAAGGCAAAAAGTTAGTCAATCGTCACATATATAAGAGAACAATGTTCTAGGTTGTTAGCTTGGTGGGTCCCACGTGGATGTACATGTTGTAGTGCTTTATCTTCCTATCAAGACACAATAGAAGCATTAGGGAAACAAAGTGTGTACCATGTTCATCTAATAGTGTTCTATTATGTCAAGTTTCAGGTGGATGGTGATAGTAGTATCGGTGTCAGCGGTGTATCATATCAGAGTTCTAATTCATTCCACACAAACTCACATCTGGGTTTGCCTGGGAACACAACGGAGTCTTCATGACAAGAAACTGGAATTAAGTAGGGTTTGTCTGGGATTCTGATAAGAAATCCTTGTGGGAAATTGAAGAAAACTACAACTCTGCAACTCTGCAAGCAAAGCTATTACACAATTTCTCCAAAGCTGTTGTTTCCGTCTGTGCATCAGGAATGTAAGCTTATTGTTCTGGGTACTCTTATATTTCCTAGATGCAAAGAATTTGGTTTGAAACAGAAATAATGGTTGTTGCTTTTTTGATGTATCTATTATGACTTGCCTCATCAACAGCATGCCAGTTTTAATGGGTTTATCCTGTTTTGGTGTTTCTATTATGACTTGTCTCATCAAACAGAATGTTTTCTTAGGTTATTTAGTATTGTTTTTATTTTTCTCTCTCTCAACTTCTGGGTGTAGAGTGTAGAATGAAGAGAGAATGAGTAGGAAACAGCAAAACACCTAATCCATCAAGCCATATGTTAACCAAAATAAATCGGAATCCTAGCTAGAAAGTAGAAACATATAATGAAAATAATAAAAGCATAATAAATAAATACTATAATGAGGAAAGCAGAACTACCAGCCCCTTCCCCTTCTTCCCCCTCCAACTTGCAACAAAGCACATCTTCCTAACGTCACCCACTTCAATTCCATTTGCATGCCCACCTCAGCTGAATGCACGAAAAACATCCTAAGATCATACACAAAACAGAGTATATAAAAAAAATTGAAATGCAGAGGGAACCCAGCTTCATACAGCCATTTCAAGAAATGGAAAATTGGAAGAAATCTAATCCTCAACAAACCCTTAAGCAAAAATGGGAACATACCAAGCTACCCTTTCCATTGGAACCTAAAACAAAAACATCAATCCTTATATAGACATGCAACGGTTTCACCTTTCTCCCATTAGGTGAAGCCACAGTGAAGACTTGAGAGAGAGAACCCAAAAAATGCAGTGGATACGTGTTCGCATCAGGCAATAATCACACCACTCGGACTATTTATATGTGTTGCTACTGTCATGCAGTGGACACGTGTCATGCAATGTAAAAATGCAGTGGATACGTGTTCAAATCAAGCAATAATCACACCACTCAGACTATTCATATGTGTGTTCGTACAGTAAAATAATGATCAATTTGTTTATTTCTTAAAACTTAGCCGATTAAACACCAAAACACCAAAATAGTTAATTATACATATAACATAACACGTGGAGAAAAGGGAGATCAACCCAATCGTATTAATATCTAGAGATGATCCCACAATCAATCGATGATATGTCGATGACATATCTAAGTCAAATTGATGCATTGAAATTGAGGACAATTTGTCTGTCCAATTACAGTTTGACTGGTACGGTTCCGGAAGACTTTTGGGAGATTGAAGAAGTTGAAGATCCTGTCTTTTTGCATTCTAACCAATTCTACGGAGAGAGGTGAAACAATGACACCAGGCTCCCCCCTTGGAAACAAACACTGCTACTTTATTAATTGTCACGGACTTACGGTCCAGCCAATTTAAATCCCAACACAATAATGTTCACAAGAATAATGATTACACCAACCTCAATTTGAATCAACATAATATCCACCATCACTCACTCCTCTCATGGAACCCATATGTCAGTCACATGAACGATGAGCAGGAATCCCTTGTTATAGTCACTTAAATTAATTCATGGCTTAGGAGGATTATGAAACTCTCAATTTTGTGTCTAACGATTATTATAACAAATGGAAGCAAGATTCATGAAAATCTCAATTTTGTTTGCACTACAATTTCATTTCAACTCTCACGCATTTGCCCTTGTTGTCAAAAAAATTCTATTCTAAAATTCTTGAAACAAAACCTAAACTATCTAGGTAACAACTTGTAAAAGAAAAAAAAAAAAAGGAAAACATGATATAATACCTAACAACTGTTTGGTAATTAATAGAAAAAAAAGTTAAAAATCTCTAACAGACAGCTTCAACTGCAAGTCTCTTGGTGATATTCCCGCCACAATTGGGAGCTCCAAGAGCATTCTTCGACACTTCAATACAACAGCTCTCCTTTCCAACACATGCCTACGAAAGAACAAGAACAAAATCAAAAATAAATATGCACTGATAGTGAAAAAGAAAAGCAAATAGAGATCATAGTGAGGGAGAGAGGGAGAGAGGGAGAGAGAGAGAGAGAGAGAGAGACAGAGAGAAATTACATTTTGAACAGTAGACAGAATATCTTTGGCATCACAACTTCCTTTGACAAAAGATCCACAAGTGCCCTGTGGGTCACCAAAGCTAGCAAATCTAATTTCTGAAATGGTCTGACCACTCTGGCATGAGAGCTCCAATGTCTTTCCCTCTTGTACAGTGGCACAAGCTGAACCAACAGTAACAGTCTGGAAGTTCACAAGGTAAGGACTGCCACCCATCTCTTCAAACAATGTCAATGTGTTCTCGTCATCCCGAAGAAAAGATCGAGGGACATGGTACCTAATAACATTTGCACAACTTAATAAGACTTCTGGCTCCTCTAAACATCAAAATACAAGAAAGACATTCTTCTTACCATCTCTGAGATGGATGACCACAATTAGTCACACATTTAGAATCACTATATGGTCCACGATAGTCACATGTGTTGCTGCAACCATCCTGTTGAGAAAGAAAAGTTGGCCAGTAGCGTCCAATGCTTTTTCCATTCACCCAAGCATGGCCCTTACCCAAACCTTGCAAATCCACCACAACTGGGTCTGTTCCTAGAGGAGGCTTGAAGGTTGTCTGAAAATAAAACAATTCAAGAATTAGAACGTGTGATTTCTAAAACTACAGAAAACAAATTATAGCAGGAAAATATACCTTGTACCAAGTCATCATCCTGTTTGTGGGARGATTTTCCGATTTCCATTCCGAATCATGGCTTAAATCTTCATTGTAAAGTTGCTTCTCCTCACCATTCAACCCAACCTTAAATGTCCACTTGTTTGAAGACAAATCTTTAACTATCTCCTCACCAGTTTTCTTTCCAATCAAGGCAACAGGACCAAGTATTCCAGTTGGTGTCAGGTCGTACATGGCACCATAATTCTAGTTACCGATATCGGATAAAAGAAACAAACAAGAAGAACAAGTTAGTGTTCGAGTTTAGAAAAGATGAAATTGTGAGGATGCATGGAACGATGATCAGTTGTAAATATATATACACCTTTAATCCAACAGTGGCACTAAGCAATGAAATTTGATTCCTGCCAGGTTTCAACTTAATCGCTTTCTCAAAAGCAAAGACAAAGCCTCCATGTTCGGCCCACTGGGAACCTAAAAATGGTAAATCAAAATTTGAGTGAAAAGATAAACAAGAAAAACAGTTATCATACTTCTTTCCAAGATATCTATATCTCGGTCGAAGTAGACTTTCAAGTTACCTACCAATATGGTTTCCATTAACATAAGCATGAAGCACATGCCCAGTAGTATTTACTAGGAGAGTCAAATCAGTGCCCCAAATAGGATCCTTTTCATCCATGTTTACACTGTAGTAACACAGACATGAATCATAAACTCTTCAACACAAACAATGAATGAAATGTTCATGTACGTAACTCTGCAAGTTACAAATTATTACCTAGTCATGTACCACAAATAATCACTTGCATCATTAGTTACAAACTTTTGTTCCATGAGGTGTGAGGCAACCATTGGACCCTTGCCCTGAAGAGCTGTCTCTGTAATTTGTTCCGGCCTCCATAGCCATTTGAGACTCATAGGCTGATCTTCAGCAACATTCACCTTCTTTACCATCACTGAGGTCTGAGCACTAATCTGAAAATACAATAAATATAATATTTTAATACTCTTTATTGCAATAACTTAATCCATATTTTTCCATATGGAATATGAAGATACGGATCCTCACCTTAGCAGTATTGTAGACCTCTTTCTTGCAATCAGGGAGAATACTAACAGACCAAGCAGGAATTGTATATTGCTTGCCTTGGAAGGTGATGGTAGCATCAGTAGTAGTGTTTGCATTACTCAAGAAGCAGCTTGATGTTTCATTTGTAGCGTAAATTGTTGCCTAAAAACCATTAAGAACTCAGGTTTACATTTAATTGTTCAATCCAATCCATGTTTTTAAGTTTTAGGAGTAGAAAATTTCACAAGAACTCACCCCAACAAAGTTTCCAAAATCAGTATGGGAAACATCTCCATGGGTAAGCACCTTCTCCATTGATTTCAGCACAAGATGAAGCTCCTTCAAATGCCCCCACTTAGGTTGATTGAGATTACCTGTAGAGTTTCTAATAACTTAGGTCCATATCAAATGGCATGACTGATTAAAGTTAGACAACGATCCTTTTTCTTTCCTACTTGATTCTACCAAATCAATGTGAGCTTAGTTAAATTTAAATTTATACCATATTCGTCAAGGGGTGCGTCATAATCATAAGTTGTTGCGATGTAAGGACCTCCTGCTGTCCGACCAAAGTTGGTGCCACCATGATACTGTAAACAAAAGAAAAAAGTTGTATAATGAACCAGGAAGAATAGCGTAGAAAATAGAAGCATCAAAACGAACAGTTACAAACCATGTAATAATTCTGGAAAACTCCACCAGTTTGGAAGAAACGTGCAACTGCGTAGGCCACATCCTCAGCAGTTCTATGTGGGTCTGCACCTCCCCAATTCTTGAACCTAAAACAGCACTATAATCCTCAGTAACTCTTAACAAACACAAAGAAAAGCTAACAATTTGGTTTACAAAATAGAAAAGAAAAACTCACCAGCCAGTCCAATTTTCAGTCCACATCTTAGGGCTATTGGGGTTGTTTGGAGTGAATGAATCACAGTACCAACCATTGCATGTGTTGATCTAATTAAAAAATATAATATAATAATAACTTATTAAGTATTAATCTTAATTAACTATTTAAAGAAATAAAAAAATAAAAAATTACTTAATTTAAAAGCTTTACCATTGGCTTAGGAGCATCAGATTGTTGACACATAACCCAGGGAACGCCAATGCCTAGAGATTCCGCCATGTTTGCACACCAATTGATATAAGTTTTTCCAGCGTCACCATATGGTCCCATGACGTTGCCATATTCATTCTCAATCTATTATACATAAATAAAAATTTTAAATAAAATTAAAATTGATTATTCAAACTATACTAATTAAATTATCTTGTAATGCAATATAAAACTTAAGAAGTAAATTAATAGTTTGGCAAACCTGAGCAATGATAATAGGCCCTCCTTGTGAGGCAAATAGGTTCTCTTGCTTTATCATGTCAACTATCAAGGTTGTAAAATTTTTCATCTCATTCTAAATAAAATAAAAGCAAACAAATATAAAATTAAAAAAAAAATTAGTTGACTGAGAAAATAAAAATAAAAAAGAAAAGGAGAAAAATGAAAATCTCTAAAATGAACAAAAAAAGTTACCATGTAGACAGGATTATCAGTTCTAAATTCTTGAATTCCCGGCAAATTATGCAACCAAACAGGAAATCCACTAAAAATAAACATACGAATATTAAGAAACTTGACGAATAAATAGATAAATAATGTAAACTATTAGAATACAAAAAGGAGGAGAAAAAATAAAGCCTACCCATAATTCCATTCAGCACAGACATAAGGTCCAATACGGAGAACAGCATATAATCCGGCTTCTTGGACAGTTTTGAGGAACCTAATAATATCCAAATTGCCTGAAAAGTCATACTGAAAAAAGAAACAAAAAAAACAGTCAGAAATATCTTGTATAAAATAAATTTGACGTGAAAGAACAAGGATTTACTAGTAAGTCTGAGAACCTGGCGACGACGAGGTTCGTGGACATTCCAGAAAACATAAGTCTCTATTGCATCAAGCCCACCTTCCTTTGCTTTTCTTATTAAATCCGGCCACATCTGCATTACCCATAAACAGTTAATAACATCGATTGAAAAATAAACTAAGTGATTCTTTGTTTCAAATTGGTGCTTTGTTCAAATATCTACAATTTATACATTCAAAAAATAAAAATAAAAGCTTATCCGATAAGGATTTTAGTAAAAAAATTCTTTGCTTTGCTTCTTTCAAAGATATGCTACAATCACGTCAAAACATCCAACAAGAAACTATGATTTTGATATATATAATATAATTTCGCTAATAACATAAATTCTTTTCATTACGAAAAAACTATACCCCTGGAGTGCTGCGAGGATAGTGAATTGATCCAGAGATCAAAACCCTCCTTTCTCCATTAATCTTAATTCCTCTCCCATCGTATGTAACTTCAGTTGCCAAAGAACCCAAGCAAAAACAAACGAAAACTAATCCTGCAGTAAGTAGCTGAAGAGCTCGCAAACCAGCCATTGTCATTCTCTTTCAATGCAAGAGCAGAAAAAAACTCACTCATCTACGAATAGTATCTGCATGCAACAAAGCCATATTTATAACCAACGAAAATGTTCATTAGAAGCCAACATCTAGTTATTCACCCTTATCCGAATATCTTCTTAATCTCTCACTGATCTTATCCCTTCGAAAAATTGTTACACCCTTCCATCTCCTCGACTGATCTTATCCCTTCGAAAAGTTGTTATACGGTTACACCCTTCCATCTCCTCGACTAATCTTATCCCTTCGAAAAGTTGTTACACTCTTATATCTCCTTCGAAAAGTTGTTGCACTCTTATATCTCCTCGAAGTAAGCTGATAGGCATTAAAGCTCTATCTCACGGTAGCTCAAAAATTGGAAGTAGTATAGGGTTTTCCAAGTTACCCGTTTGTAGCCTGTCGACCTTCCTTACCATCCCTAGGATTCTTCAGTCAAGAGTTGTAAAACTCGGATGGAAAGTATAACTGCTTTTCTCTCCGGGTCAACGGGCCAGCAGTTCAATTATCTGGTCACTGGGTCAAGCCGTAATGTCACACTTTAAAATAAAAATTGAAATATTTAAATAACACAAAAATCGATAAAGATGGGTCAACTGTTCAACCATTTGGGTCAATGGATCATTGACTTGCAATTGGTTGTTATGTATCCTAACCAATATTGGCCAATGAACAGGTCAGATGGATCAACTGTTCAACCATTTGGGGGGGTCAATGGGTCATTAACCAAAACAGGGATTCTAAGTGGATCGCTGGTCCAACTAGCTGAATCAAAAACGGGTTGAGGACTTATTGACCCAAACGGGTATTCACTTACGTAGCCTACTTTCATGTTTGTATAATTTGCAGAAGATAGTCCCTGTCTTTTAAATTTTATTATTATGCTATTTTAGTTTATGAATCAAATACTTACAAGAATAGATTGTCCCTATTATATGAACCAAATACGGGAACGGTGGAACCTGATTATTATGAACAGGGTGATGAATCCGGCTTTCCAATTCCAACCAGGCCCAAACCTGTCGGAACCCTTTCTCTGCAACAAATCCAGAGAAAATAGTTTGCTTTTAATCTCTTGGAGTCGAGGCAGATAATTTGATCGGTTTGATTTAGGTTGGACCAATAATCAACGTTCACCATATAGACACCCCATTTTTGCGCCATTTTCTCTTCTACAATACTTCAAGTTTTGACATGTTTCAACTAAGCTTTTAATTGACCTAGGGACATTTTTAAAACTTTATAAAAGTCTAAACCTCTAAGAATACCATAGGTACGTAGAGCCCAAAATTTCAAATCTGATGACATTAAGATCAACTAAAATTCAACACCATTTACACTATCTTAAAACCTACATCCAGAATTGACTTTGATCATCCAATCAGGGTCATTTTGATCCTTAATCTTATCTAACATCAAGATAGAAATCAAACACCAAAGGTATGTAGAGTCCAAAATTTGAAATCTAACAACACCAAATTAACACAAATCGACACCCAAAGCCGAAACTGATTCTGATCTTATACCCCTGCTAAGGCAATCTCCATAGGATTGTTAACAAGTCTAGCTTGGGTTGGGACCAAATAGAACTGGAATTGACCTGACATGAAATACTAAGGACTCGGAATCGAATCGGACCCGATAAGGTTTATAATTTTTAGATCCAAAACCTGACTAATATGTTCTCGGGACAATCAAGCCTAACCCTATAAACCCAATTATAATAAATAAATATATATACACATTTAATATATATTAAATATTATATCTATATATATTATGTATATAGCCCAGGTCAGGCCTGAATCAGTCCGGGAGTGGGTGGAACTGGTTCTGAACCGACAATAATTGGGACATTATATTAGGACTCGAAACTGATCCATTAGTCCTAGTTCTTGGAAGCAGAACTGGCCCAATCACTTTGGGTCCATCGGGTCCATCAGGTTGGACCCAACCCATTGACAACCCTAATCTCCATCCCCATCTCCATTGCCATCCCTACCTCTAGGTTGTATAATCCCATAGAGCAATAAGTTTTAAGCCCAACAAGTCCTAATATTTTCTCGTGCATCACATAGGGCCCGCTAGTAATAAAAATGCAGAACATAAGAAATTAACAAAATGGGATTGACACTTCTTAGAATCCCGAACTAGAGTTTGTCATCTTCCTTTCCCTATTGGATTATGTGCAATTTGGAGTTTGGACAAAAAGTTGTTTCTAAAATACTCTCTTTTATCCACTTTGATGTTATCCAATCTGAGGTGTTCTAAACCGAGGACACAATCAGATGGTCCTGCCAATTGGACAAGGCCGAGGTGGATGGACGAAGCCGCGTACCAAGATCTGCAACCAAGGGAAAGGTCAAAGGCCCGAGGAGTGGTTCCCCAAGTAGGTACTTCGACGCTTAAGTCAATTGGGTAGAGAAAGGTATGATCGGGCTTAGCAGGTTGAAATAATGCTGGTTCAGGCAGACAAGAAAGTGTAAAAAGGTATTCGAAGAGTGTTCTTCCAAAAGTTCCTTACCTCGAGCGGAGAGTACCTATTTATAATTGGGTGTCCGTGTCCCGAATGAATAGGGCTTTCGAGGTTGTCGAGATGAGGGCATCCACTGTGGTTTTCGAGAGGTTTCCTCTTCTTCAGCGGAGTTCGCTTCCTTTTTCCGTGTAGGACACTCCTTAGTCATGCTCTTTCGTTGCGTATGGTATCAATGTGGTCTGAGAAGGGGGCGGCCATAGAGATTGCCACGTGGTATCCTTAACTAACTCAACCATCACCAGAACACACATTTCTCTACTCAACTTATCAATTCAAAGTTAGAGTTTTGTGTCTGTACTTTCTTATTCCCAATTTTGTTGTTAAAATTATTTTATTTGACAGGACCAATGCTCCCATAGACAAAATAGAGTTGACAAGACCGATTCTCCCATAGACAAAATAGAGGTGTCCCTTCATTTGTTTGCTAGGGTAGTTTAGTAGAAACTAATGTATATTTCAACACCACTTGAGGTAGTAAGATTCTCTCTCTTGCAAATTGGATTTCAGTAATATTTCACCAACATTATTCATCCATTGTCTTAGACTTCTCACAAATCAGATACCGGTACCATTCATCATCTAGTAACTGCTCTCACCTGCAATTGGTCCTTCACCAGAAACACTACTTACCCAATGGTGTAGTAGCATATGCCATAGTGGCAAGCACATGATAATAATGTTCCTATGCCTTCCACTAGGGTAAATTAGATTCACTTAAAGATGAACTTGAAGTATAGGAAGATGAGGATAGAAAAATACAGAAATACCCTCAATAGTTGTTTACCGTTGCTGGGGGTGTTTTTTTTTTTTCATTATATCTCTACATAATTGTTGTAACAACTATAAAATGGTTAGATTCCATAGGTCAGGTCGTGTCGTACCGAGTCATGGACCAGAAACCCTTGGCCCTGCTTAGCCATCACTATAGTTGGCGGGTTGACCCGTCACTATAGCTACAGGTTGTGTTGGCCCATAAGCGGCCTAGCCCATATACACCTTTAAGTAAATAAAAGTGAAGTTAGAATTTTATATTGTGTATGATAATGCCTTAATGGTAATAAGAGCATTTTGGTAACTTTGGTATCTGCACTACTGAAAAGGTGCACCATTTTTCAAAACAATAGGAAAAGTTTTTGTTTCAATTAGAACACAAGGGAGGCTTGTAGTATTGTCAAAAATCATAGGGGGTTTATATAATTTGTACATTTTAATATTATTAACTCACATGGAATCATTAGAAAATATAATGGGAAAACTATTCTATATGATGTAAGGATATATTTAAAGGATAAAATCATGCTTGTGGCTATTTCTAATGTCTATTCTATGTTCCCAACAATTAGAAATGAATATTTTTGCCAAACTAGTGGCTAATTATAAGCTGATTTGCCAAACTAGTGGCTAATTATAAGCTGATTTGCCGAACTAGTGGGTAAGTGGTAACTTTTAAATAATTAACAATTATTTATATTTTATATACTACTTCTAAAATTTTTTTTGCTATACAAAAATAACAATAATTAATTTCAACTATGACTCATCATCAAACCAATGAAACTGACCAAACTAACCAACCCAACCCAACTTGACCCGATTTGATCAGTTTTTTAGTATTTTTGGTTGGCTTCTATTCAATAATTTCCTAACCCAACCTGGTCTGGTTCAATTGCGGTTTGGTCATTTGTAAACAAACCAAAATTGAATTAACCCAACCATGGATATATATTAATACTTTATATTTGAAATATAATTTTTAATACTAGAAAGTGGGAAATTTTTCATATTTCATAGTCTAAATATTTTATATTATAAGTTTATTTTTTAATAACACCATTGTAATTACAAAATATGTAATATTATATAATAAATTTTAAATAAATAAAAATATAATAACAAGAAAATTGAAATATTTTAAATTTTATTTAATTATTTTAAAAGATAATTATTTTAAATAATGAAAATATTTCACGTAAATAATGAAACTATTTCACATAAATATTGAAAATATAATAACTAACCCAACCATAGATATATATTAATAATTTATGTTTGAAATATAATTTTTTAATATGAGAAAATGGGAAATTTCCCATATTTCATAGTCTAAAATATTTTATATTATAATTTTTTAATAATACAATTGTATTTTTTAAATTTAAATTTAATTTATTAAGCTTAAATCTTTTGAAGCAATTGAGCAAACTGAAAATCATCCCAAACCAATAAAACCCGAGTTGGCCAATTTCCATTAATGGTTGGTCGGTTTTGGGTGACCATCTCCCTAACTCAACCAAATTGCTTGGTTAACAAAATTGCTTGGTGACCATCTCCCTAACTCCACTAGTAATTTAATCTTTAATAAATATTAATCAATAAATTATAATAAAAATACATAATTACTAAAAAATTATAACAAAAATACAATAAATACAACTATAAAATAAATTAAATTTAAAAAAGTTCAATAACAATATTTTAATCTCCATCAATTATTGAAAATTTTCTATTCAATAAAAAATAGATTTATACATAATGGTGTTTTTATAAATATTTTAAATTTATATAATTTTTATAATATTTAAATAATTATTAAAATTTTTAATTCAAACTTTTTTTTATATAGATCTAGATGAAAAGTGGGGGAGAAGATAAATAGGAATTAGAGATAATCATAGATAATTTAGGAGAAATTAAGGGACAGTGGTGCCACGTGGCTAATAAGTTGTAGGTAATATAAAGTTATAGCTTAAAAAATTGAAAAGCAACAAGGAAAAGCCATAAACCCAAAGACGATAAGTTTAATCTTTTTCCTTTTTTGGAGAAATGGGTAATGGATTAAAATAAACAAAAAGATTTACAAAACCATGTTCAAACAGAAATTGAAGCAGGGGAAAGAAACTCAAAATCTGATTACATTTCTAATATAGATGCAAAAAGAATTCTATGATTAAAAAAAGATCTATAAGCTATATATATACTTTAGCTATCCATGCATTGCAGTCCATGAATAAATTCTTCCCCATTAATTTTTTAGGATTGTATCCTCTGTATTGCACTTGTTTTCAAAGATTCTCCTATTTCTTTCCAACCAAATACACCAAATTACTGTTGCCGGGATCGCTTCCCACAAAACTTTCCCTTTTGGATAGACCCCTAAGCTGCCAACACTCCAACAAAGAGATTAGATCTTTTGGCAAATAGAAGCTAACTTCAAATAGCCCCAAGGATTTTCCCCATATCATACTAGCAAGTTTGCAATGAATGAATAGATGTTTTGTGTTTAAAACACAATAAGACAAGAATCTGAAAAATACTTAAACCACGGGCATCATCATAGAAGTAAACAATCTCTAGTTGAAGGAATGTCAAGATTATTGATCCATTGCATCCTTCATAAAACAATCTCATAGTACTAGTCAGCTTGTGAAGAAAATTTGTAGACAATTTGTAATGTGAAGCCAAATAAAAAGATGCAGGTCCAAGCTTCCACCTTGGGAATTTTATTTTTTTGAAGGATAGAAGAAAAAATTTTATTAAAAAGAAAAAGATTACAAGGCATTGGATGTCAAGGAGACATTCCAGATTGAGCTACAGCTAGACAATCTGAAAAGTTTCTTCATTACATGGTTGTAATTCCAGAATACCCCAAAAATTCTCTATCAAATCCTCCCTTCTAACTTGATCAAACTCCGGCAGAACCCACAGCAGAAACTATTAGTTCCAAACTTTTTGCTTTGTTTTCAAATGTTCTTCTATTCCTTTCAGCCCACAGTGACCAGCAAACTGCAAAGGGAATACAGTTCCACATAATTCTGGCTTTTTTGCTGCCACTGATTTTCGGCCAACTAGAGAAAATCTCAGCAGGAGATGATGGCTGGAAGACAGACTTCCCAAAAAAGGAGTAGAAATTCCAGATGAAAGTTGCCATTTTGCACGAATAGAACAGATGGAACACTATCTCCTCATCCATTTTGCACAAATAGCAGAAACTTGGAAGTTAAAGGCCTCTTTTTTTTCAAGTGATCTGTGATTAAAATGCTGTCGAGGGCAACCAGCCAAGCAAATGCCTCCACTCTTGGTGGCACTGGATTCCCCCACACTCCTTTCAAGCTAGCAGAAACCTGATTGTCTCTTACCAAAGCCAAGTAAAAGGATTTCACAGAAAACCTGCCATCCTTACTCTTTCCACCTTGGGAAATTTCATCAATGAAGCACAATTAAGCTTCCAGTTTAGGGTTCATGTGTCAATTACCCAGTAGTTGAGATGGTCACTTGACCACCCTCCGAAAAAAGGAGGCATGGGATCAAGCCCACCTATGGAACTTCAGGCTCTCTGTGGTATGGTTAGCGGGCCTCACATGTGCCCTGTCCCTACCCCTTGGTCCCCTGTCATGTGTACTATGTAATATCCAAAAATAAAAAAAAAAATAAAACGCTTATGGTTTATTATAGTGAACACTTGCACAAGGTTGTAGCTTAGGTAACTCCTAGATAGTCTATAGCAATTCAAGTTTAATAACTTCAACAATTACATGGATAGAGACAATGCTTCTTGTAATACATACTAAAATGAGAAAGAATACTGAATCTTTTTCAATGGATTGAAACAATCAAGTGAATCCAATTGCTTATAGAATGCATCTAAAACAGAACCAGAATCCCTGCAAACATGATGATCAAGTATAAGTACTATTACCCAATGCGGGTCTTAAAAATCTGGGGGATTGGGTCATCAATTATGAGTTCCAAATTATTTTTGGTAAAAGAGTTCCAGTTTCAGAAACATCAAAAATATGAAACACAATAATCCGAGTTTGTCAAGTACATAAGTCATTCGCTTTACAAAATTCTGGCTAAGAAAGTTTTCAGGTAAATATCTAATTCTTCAGAACCCATCGTCGCTTCATCAGAATTGTCCATTGCTTAATTTTGGTGATGTTTGCATGTATATGGACTCTACTGGTAGTACTTCCACTTAAGGATACAATAAACACATAGGAACCAGGTGTTTTACAAAGGAACCATGGATTCGGTGATCCCACCTTCAACAGCTCAGAAAACTAATTCCATATTCATAAAGTAACCATGGAGCTAGTGATTTACAAATTTCTGCTCAAGTATCCTAGAAGAAAGAAAAAGTATGGCAAAGAATGGTTGGATAAATCATTAATCGTATCCTACCACTCCACCGATCAGAATTCTTCTCTATTGTTCAACTAATGATGCATATATGTAGATGGACTTTGTCGATACCTCTGTTTCAAGTTACAGAAACCCATCTTAAATAAGCCAAGATACTGAACCTAATTCTACAGAGTTCAACAGCAAGAGGACACATTTCCGTATCCCTCATTTCCATATTCTACAAAGGCATCTCTTCAGAGACATCCAATAAAATATTCCACAAAGGCACCAAGGGTCCAAGACTCCAGTTACTCCACCAAATTCAAGGCTTTTTCTGATGTTGTGATGTCAATAGACAGAATTATATTGGAAATAAGGAGTAACAAAGAAGCTTGTAATCTCCAATTTAAATTGTATCTTTATCATTGAAAAAAGAATATGCCTTTTTATCTACCATCACATTATAAGCATTGACGGACAAGTGAACAATCCAATTAGCTGAATGGGATTTATCCATCCCACACATCTCTTCGTACCCTAACCTGTTCACCATTAAAGTGGAGGTATTTCCACTTTGGCCGGTATTTACTGAGCAACAGTTTCACCTTATCTTCTTGGCCCAATTTCTGGAATGCGTGTCTGACTTTCCTTATAGTGTCTTCATCAGGTCTCACTCCCAACTCCTCCATGTCCGCAAACACCTGGGTTTTTCCAGAGTGAAGAATTTAGGTATTATTGAGTTATGATGTGATCAATCTGAAATATTTTGAAGTTCTAAATATTATTACTTAAAAGCAAAAGATTATGGTTACAAAACAACTATATTTCATGATTACACTAAGACAAATGGAACTTGAGAAAGTTTATTTGCAACTGCAACAAACAAGCGAAAGAAAAAAACCTTCATTAATGATGGAAGTAGAAAGAAAGAAAGAAGTCACTACCCTTGAAAGGGGTTCAAGAGCAGGTGACACAGAGCAGTGCAACAGCTTAACTAAAACATAACAAGAAAGAATTTGAAAACACTTTAAAGGCTCCAAAAATTACCAACAAACAATAAAATTGGCAGAGCCAATTTAAGGAGCAGAGGTTCAGGATATCAAGGTACCTCTATTATCTTATCCGGCATGCCATGATGGTCATATAAGGTGATCATCCTGGAAAACAACCGCTTTGAGACAGAGCGAGTATGTGTATGCAAAATAATCTTCCATAATGATTCAGCCTCATCTACCCTTTTATCCATGTCAAATGCCAATAACAGTGTGTCGTATGTCCCCATAGTCAGTCCTTGCCCTTTGGAGAGCAACCACTTTGCAACCTGGAAAAATCCTAAGAATAAGCACCCAAGAAATTTCCTAAAATTGCCAAAGTTTGTTAATAAAATTTGAGCTTAGGCTCATCACCTCGTTGAAAGGATTTAACTTGGTTAAATGGAAAAAAAAAAAAGACACTAGCGTCATCAATCAAATTCATCTATTTTTCTTCTATATATAATCTTGAGTGGGCTATTTCAATATGTGCAAATAAAGACCTGTAAAAGTGTAATGTTTACAATTTTTTCATAACAATGCTCATGATGACTATGTTTAATGCAAGAAAAGCTCTTAACAAATTTGATAGGGCGCCAAAAACACCAAAAAAAAATTGTTAGGATGGACAAGTATTTGATATGCCATAAATATACAATAAAGGGACTAGAAGGGGTAGGCATAGACCAAAAAGGACATGGATCAGAGTAGTAATAGTTTAAGTGCCAATGCATTAAACAGAATGAAATGGCAAAAAGGGGTTCATGCAGCAAAACCTATATAGTTTCATGGGAAACATCTATAGGAATTTCATTAAAAGAAATGAACAGAGAAACATAACCAGAACCAATAAAATCAGCTCTACAAATGTGAAAAGTCTAACTCAGGTTCACCCCCTATGAAATAAACCCAGTCAATGGAATTTAGATTCGACAAATTGGCAACTCAATAACAGAGAAAGCATAAGGGCTGTAAAACATGCTTAAAGACGCAGAAGAAGATTATTAGCCTAACAACTGAAGACTCTTTGCATAAGGCTACACCTGAATTACACGTAACCATTGATTCCTCTTCCGTAAAATTACAAGAGCTTTAGATGCTGCAATCAATGGAAATTCTGCCTCCCAAGCTGACCATTCATCTAATGCTCCATAAATGGCCTCCTTCTCATTAGGTAGTTCTGAAACCTGCCAATTACAACCTTCAGAAATGTAGGAGCATAGTTGAGAAGTTCTGAATACACACTTCCTATAGAGATTGCAAAGAAAAACATCTTTAATTTAAAGGAACCTAAGAATGTCTTTTCACTGAATACACACTTCCTGTAGAGATTGCAAAGAAAAACATCTTTAATTTAAAGGAACCTAAGAATGTCTTTTCATTCTTTAAAAGTGTTACCAAGTACCAGAGAAAATGATCAACAACAAATGCAGTCCTTATGGAAATCAGGAAAAAGAATTACAATTCGAACAAGATGGAAAGCCTTCTGTCCAGACCCAGATGAATCTCGTTTCTTCCATAGATGATGTTCCTTCTTCCCTGCCTTCTTGCTCAATTTCCTGGGAAGATTCAATGTTGTTGAGACAATCCAAATGAAGCAATCAACAAAAGACAAAACAACAATACCACCTCTTGTCAATTAAAGATCTTACTTATCAATGGCATTGGGACTCGGCACCAGTTCTCGATTTCGATCCTTCGAACACTCGATAGGTAGAAACCTTACAACCTACATGGTTAGCAAAGTGCAAAAAGACAGAAAACATGAGAAAATAATGTTACCATTTATTGACAGAACGAACACCACTGGTTGGTTCTGCAAGAAAAGAAAGTCAAAAATGAACTCGTTTACCTTACTGTTCACTTTCTCTGAGTTCTTCTGCAAGAGAAAACCTTGGCAGCCCAAGAACCCTAGCCTTGTTCCAGTCGTGCTTATGGGAAGAGAAATGGAAGTCGAAGGATAGAGCACAGACATGCGTAAGTAAGCTGGTACTACAAGGGCAAAAGAGGAAAAGCAGACGGAGCAGAGAATGTATGGCTCGATGTCTAATCTGCAAAAGCTCCGGCAAGGAGAATGAACTCGGAATTTGGGGATTGGGAGGAATTCGGATTAGCTGAACGCCCCACTCTGTTGAGCGGGCTGTCACTGTGGGACAAATTGCAAAAGCCCACGTCAGTTTTACACGTTAAAAGTCATTCCCCCGTGCGAATCCATCTGATTAAAATCACAGGAGTCGGGAGTGGTTACAAATTTTTTTTTTATCCTTTTGAGCCGTAACAGCCTAATCTTCTTCCTCCTCTCCTTTTTCTCCCGCCTCACCCTGTATTCTGTCGTCGGTCCCAAAAAAAAAATATCACCGGTAGACCCCTCTTTCTCTATCTCTGTGCATGTGTGGAAAATCTTCTACATGCTTATGAGCAGAAAGTTTAATACTAAATGAAGCAGAGTTTGTGGTTCTGGATTTGATATATGAAATTGCACAACGAAAATGCATAAAGTCACAAAATCTCTACTAGAGAGAACTTTTTTTATTCAAAAGAAATTCAACTACAAACTGTCAAGAGCACAAACGACCTCTAGAGATAGCACAAATGCCTTGCATCAGAAAACACAAAATTTGAGAGACTTTAAGAACATTCTGATCCACCGGTAGGTTTGCAAAACGAACATTCTTGTTAGAGTATCAAAGAACATTGGAATCAGTACCATGGCAGTTGGAATTGATATTTACCACGTGTAAATTTGTATAGAAATTCAATTCAATCAAGAACAGATATTTTTTACCAAAAAAAAAAGAACAGATATTTCAGTTTTCTGGCACCGGATACCAGTTTATATGGTATCAGAGCAGTGATCCACATTTCTCGCTCCTCTACGTCATTTTTTCGCTGCTCTGTTTTTTTTTTTTTTTTTTTTTCGGTCTATCGCATTCGACACTTCTTCTCTTGATAGAGACCTAACAATCCTTCACCATGGAAATTGGTGCAAACTCTCCCTATTTTATTTCTCCATCTAACAGTCCGGGAGCTGTGCTCATCTCCTGCCCTCCCACCGGCTATGTGGCAACGTGCGATGATGAATGCAATGAAAGCAAAGAATAAATTCGTCTTCATTGATGGATCATTACCAAAACCAACAGCCAACAATCTGAACTTGAATGATTGGATCAAATGCCTTTATCATATAGGAAGAATGCCACCAGCAATTAACAGTCTCCCGTTCTTTACAACCTGAAGCATCGATGCTTACAGCAAATGCTTCGAAGGATATATAAGGCTGCTGGCAAACCTTGATCTAAATTTTACTAAGATCACTATAAACGGACTGGTCATACCAAGGATCGGTGCTACGCTCTCATTGGTTATCCACCTAATTGGAACCATCACGGAAATGACAAAAAGTCATCGTCAACAACTAGTTCTTTCAAGAATACACAAGCTGCATCTTGTATCACTACAGACAACACTGATCAATCTGAACCTTCTTTGACAGTTAATAATTCTCCCGTGACTCGACTTTCTATGCATCGGTACACTCAATTAATTTATCTTCTGAATCGAGAATCTAATACTGATTTTGCTGGAATTCTCGACCGGGGTCGGGGTTGAGGATGGGAATTGAGGTCCCCGCCCTGCCCGACCCCAATTAGGGATCGAGGACTGGGACAAGAGCTACTTTTATAATCGGGGTTGGGGACGAGGAATATGATCCCCGCCCCAAACCAGCCCCATTGCCACTCCTATCCTAACATTACAAATATAGACTGGATTATCTTGATCATTTGCCAACACTAACTAACGGGGATCTGTCATTGTTAGATCGCATACCCTTCATAATGTCCAATATGTTCCTACTTTTCACTATAATCTCCTCTCTGCTAGCAAGATTACTGAACAACTGAACTACGTAGATATTTTCTTTCCACATTTTTTCATTCTTGACCCATGCTCTAGGACTGTGATTGGGATGGGTGAGCTCTGTGATGGCTTATACCATTTCACTTTTTATCCCACCACCAAGCCACATCTTACTTACTCACCTTTGCTTTCATTCCTAGAGTTTCTACCGTTTATTTGAGTAAATGTTGTAATACATGTCACCGAGCCAAACAAGCTCATTTACCATTTCCTGTTAGCAATACCTAAAGTGATTCACCTGTTAGCAATACCATTTCCTTGATGAGCTGCACCATCAAGGAAGCCAACTGAGGGGTGAATGTCAGAGATAGCCGCTAGTGAAGACAATACATTTTCTGCACATGCAACTCAAGCAAACTAACAAAGATAGTCGCTGACTCGTCGGTGAGAGAACCATCGGAAAAAAAGCCGTTGGAGAGAGTTCCCTTGGAGAAACCTTAGGTTGGAGCCTTGGAGAGTTGGAATCCGAAGTGAAGACATATATTCTCTGTACATGCAGCTCAAGCAAACTGACAGAGATAGTCACCGACTGGTCGGTGAGAGAACCGTCAGAAAAAAAAAAAAAAGAGTAGACTGGGAGAGTTGGAGTCTGAAGTAAAATCGATCCTCAGGTGGTTTGCGGACAAATAGACTTCGTCCGTTTCAATCCACCAATTACTTAGGACCAAAATAATATGGACCAGTCCAACCCGATGCCAAATCATGGACCGTCCAACCCGTCCAATTTAAATGTGATTTGAACGGGTCCAACCCGAATCCAGTCCATTGACACTCTTGCCCCCAAGGGGCAATGGCCCCAAGGCCCCCAATCTCACTTCGAAATGCGATTAAGCTAGAAAAATACCGTTAGGCTTATAAATTTTTATTTCCCTCGTAAACAAACATGTGGTTCAAGCAGCCATCCCCCTCTTGTGTCACAGTTGCGGGAAAAGGCTTGTCTGTGGAATTCATAGTATTTCTCCAGCTATCTAACAAAGTGGTAATCACAGATCTGTATCATCACTTCTGTCTATATAGCATTGAGTGGAGTGAAGTGAAGTTCTAGAATGTCAATGGCGGGGTCCTTGTCCTATGGTCTCTTCGGTTATTCAACCTTTTTCGATCATGATCAGTGTGGTCATCATTCGTGTCTTTTCACTTATTATCACATCCACCTTCCTTATCCTATCAACACTACATCTGCACTTCTTTGGGGTTGATGTACTTTTGTACTCATATCAGGAGGTTAGTTAATCGGGGATTTCTTCTAGAGTAAAAAGTTAAACTGGGATGATGATCGTAGGTTGTTCATAAAGGCTACCCTAGACACAAAGTGGTTCATGCTTTGGATTTTAATGGACTTGGTGTTATACCTCACCAAGTACTTCCACAGGGACTCATCGTCCCTTTGTTTGACCTACATGGTGTTGGCCAAAGTCTTCTAGTGTAGTCAACTACTAGTGAACTGTGCCAAGAACTCTTTAAACTAGTCCCATGTGGCAATCAATTAGGGTGGTCTACCATTGTCAAGGCGTGCCTTGGAGGGTGGAGGCAAAGGCCTTGCACATTAGGACTTCAGAGGTGCCATGGAGGAGAATTTTTGCTTTAAATCCCTCTAGGTGGTCAATGGGATCTGAAGTGTCATCGCACTTTTAGAACTGAGGGGGCCGTCATCCTACGAATAGATGATCATCCATGATCTCTTATGTGAAAATCGACTCCTTCATGGGATGAATTGTTGTGGTAGACACACTTTGGCCAAGGTGGCTTTTCTCAAGCTCATTCATACGCTCTTGCATATCCTTGATCTCGATGTCGAGGTTTGCATGCTTCTCTGTCTTTAGTGGTGCGTGGTGATCTTTAATGAAGCTTAGCTCAACCAGGAATGGTGGGATCGCGAGTGAGCATCATGGGCTTGGATTCAAGCCTAAGAGTCAGACTTCTGAGATGGTTGAGGTCACTTATGCTCGACCCTAGGCTTCAGAAGGTCTCTTGGGCATCCTTTGGGGTCCTCGGCCAGAGGATCAGCCACAGTGGGCACCATTGAGTTTGTAGTGCAGTTGTTAGGGCATGTTCGAGCTGTCCTAGCACTTCCATCATTTCTACAAGGTGGCCAACCATCTTTTGTAGGGCAGTGAACTCTTCAAGGTTCACCTACCCCAGTTGGCGAGCTTCACGAGGAGGAGAGGTGCATTGAGAGTGAGATCCCCATGATGGGGACTGAGCGCTAGAGCGATCAAAGGTGTTTTTGGGAGGCATGATCACTTTAGTGCATGAAGAGAGAGAGAGAGAAACTGGAGTCTTTTCATACTGTTTCCTATAGGCGGTGCTAATCTAATGTCCAATTTGAGGTGTTGCGGGGCCAAACACGCAACAAATAGTCCTTCTAACTTGGACGAAGCCAATGTGGAATGATGAGATCATGCACCGAGTATATCTACAAATCCAAGTCCATCATAAAAAGACAACCTTTAGGCTATGATTGATAAAAAAACATGGATAGCCCAAATGGAATTGGGATCTTCTCCTCACAGAGAACACCTCACACAGACCTTACAACCCCATCCCATGGTGTGGGTGTTTGTTGGAAGGGTTGGAATCCATCTTTTGGATAGTCGAGCCATGCTAGATGGCTGGACAAAATTGCAAAAATTTTCTAACCCTTATGGGAACCAATTTCCTGGTGTTTTGAAAAAAAGAATTTTTCTGAATTAATCTTGCGCTGAATTAGACCATATTTGAAACCAAATTGAAAGGAGATTATACATAATACGGAGACCACAAATCATTGCTCCCAAGGTAGAAGTTCATGCCCAATAATAGTCCCAAAACCGGCCTCCATCTGAAGATGGTGTAGTGTAGGGGAGAAACCAATTCAACAACACTTGTTTTAGTAATTTTGCTATCCAACTTGCTTACATCGAATGGGATGTGTGAGTCTGATATTCTTCAATGTTTTTCTTGTAAAAACCCAGAAGAAAACTGATCAAAATCAGTTCTTGAAAGGTCAAATTAGGGTTTCTTGGGAGACAAGAGAGAAGAAGAGAAAGCAAGAGAAGGGGAGAATTAATGCAAGATTGATTCGCCCTCTTCTCTCTTTATCTCTTTATAAAGAAAGTCACCTAATCTAATTTGGAGATGGTCCAAATCTGATTTAGATCAGAACTCATTCTTTTAATAAGCATTATCCTCTTAAGAGAATAAGTGCTCTGTACATAGATCTATACCTAGTTTTAACCCAAATCACATGACAACTTAAGTTGTCATGTAACCACTTAACTAATCATATTAGTAATGGGCCTTAGGCCCATTTATCTTAAAGGCTCACATCTCCAAGTGTTTCATGGCCACTTTGGGCCTAATATTATATGGCATGGGACCCCGCAAAGGTCTCACACAAGTCCATAAGGGTTTGGCCCTATCCCTGAAAGAGGTTAGGTCGAATTCACTACTCAAGGTAGTGAACCCCTAAGCCAATCAGTATAGGCTCAGTATGAACCCAACATTTACATCTAAGTGATCCTTCAATTCAGCTACCCTATGAAGACCCAATGATAATGGGCTTATGTAAGATAAAGCTCATCAAGCAATCGACCCTGTAATGGTCTCTTACACTTAACCTCTAGGTTCTTAATGATATCGATAAGGAAGGACATCTCCCCTAGCTACAAGGTGCAATGTCATACTCTCTGCTCATATGGATCCCAGGATTAAAACATTTTGCAAATCTTTTTCATAAAATAGTAGTATAACATATAAATATATTTTGCAAAGTCAGATTTCAAATATAGTTGAAATCCACTGTCGAAAATTTAGATTTCCTTTAAAGAGAATGTAAACCCTAATATTCACTTTGTCTGACTAAGGGCCGATCCTTCCTATTACTATGATCACCTACTTAGGTGATTTTCCAAATTGCTTCAACATGCCTAGGTATTTGACCTTGACAATTTTAGCCCTCACTTCACTCATACATATATACAATGCTTTTTACATATTATACTATACATTTCAATGAAAATATGCCATATCATGACAACTGAGAGCCCACGAGGACCTACACATGAAGCACCATGTGAACCCAATTATTAATAATAATAATAATAATAATAATAATAATAATAATAATAATAATAATAATCACAATAACAATGACAAAAACAATAATAATAATAACAATAACAATAACAATAACAATAACAATAACAATAACAATAACAATAACAATAATAATAATAATAATAATAATAATAATAATAATAATAATAATGATAATAATAACAATAACAATAACAATAACAATAACAATAACAATAACAAATCATGAATAATATTGATAAATAACAATAATAATAATTTAACAAATATTGAATAGTATTTCCAGAAACTTTTTGCATGATTTTTAACAAAATTAAGGAACTGCCCCTCCCCTTACATATAGATTTAAACATGCAAAGCTGAAGGATTGTTCATCGTCTTCATCCTGAAAGCGAGAATACAATGGCAATAACCCCCTGTTTCCAATTCCTTCCCCCTCTTCTTTCGTCCATCTTCCCTTTCATTCCTACTCTCTTCTCCTCTTTATCTTCTTTTCCTGCTTCTTTCCCATCCCCATACTCTGATCATGAAAAGCAGCTCACAGTGGTGATATCCACTTAGTTTTCAATCATACATCGGTGGTTTATTACCGTTTTCTAGAATACATCCTATTCTGGAGTGCTTCATCAACTTCCTCTGTCATTTTTTGCTCCTCAAATGCATCCTTGATCCTCTATTCTTCGTCGGCGTGACAGTGATTCAGGTTCCTATTCCTCTAGTGATACCAAGCAATATTTTCAACTCTAGATCAATCCATCTTCACCGTCTTTGGTCATTTTCTAGTTTGTTGTGTTCGAATGAGAGGAGAGGGAGGTAAAACCCTCGCACGGGGTATTTTGGGTATTAAAAAAATACTAGGGACTGGTTCGTCCCATTCTCTTGGAAGAAGTACTTATCCAAGAAGTGCTCAAAAAAAAAAAAAACCAACTTCAGGTCACCTTTTTAAGAAGTGCTTTTCCCACTTTTTTACCAAACACATAAAGTCACTTAATAACCATTTAATGTGTGGTCCCAGCTCTTAAAAGAAGTACTTGTTAAAATTACTTTTTAAAAGTGAAGTCAAACAGGGGTTCAATCCAATAACTAGTGCAGTATCATAATTAAGTCTAGGGTTATGTATAACTTTCCAATTTTGCCCATCTATCTCCAAGGTCCAGGGCATAAGTAGAAATTAATCCAGGTTCAGTGCTTCTTGCGAATATCCACTAGCTATGCTTGGGGTCTAACCCTAGCAATTGAGACAAGCTATTCCAACTGTTTGGTAGCACAACAATGTCAACCATGCCAGGATAAATTCCCTAAGTCTATCTAATGGCTGAGAACTTTCTAAACTAACACGAGTTTCTTAAGTGTCCAATTTAAGGAGTAATACACAGAAAGCATGCCAATATGAACATGAAACAACAATGTACTTTATTTATTTATAAATAAATGTTTGTGTACAACAATATGATTGGAGCTAAGGGCATACACAATCTAACATTGGGAACATCTCCCCATAAATAATAACACAAAGTACAGAAAATGTTCCCCATACAGAGTCGGATAGAACTATGAGGTCCGTATGAGGTGTGCTCTATAAGGAGCAGATCCAGGCTCACCCAAATGGACTATCAATCATTTTTTGGGTTGTGTACTTCAACCTCTTTAGATAATTTATCTAAAGTGCCTCAAAGCAATTGAAACAATTCAACATTGCCAAACAAGCATTCAACTAAGTTGCTTCAGCTACTTTGAGGCATTCCAGATAAGCTTTCAAAAGAGGTTAAAGTAGACAGCCCAAAAAATATAGATTGGTAACTGATTTGAGCTTCAAGATTTTTCACCAAATTCAACTTAAAAGGCTGTCCATGTAAGCTATACCTGGGAAAAGTAGAAGCCACCATGCTTTAGCCCTCTTAAACAACTACTCAACATTGGTTGGTTGGTCATATGTGGAAGGTACTATCTCTCAATAAGAACGTAATTCATAGTGTTAGTGACTAGCAAAGAAAGGGCAAGAAAACATATCCACTCGCAGTCAACTATGGGCTGCAAACTTTTCCCCTCAAATGGTTAAGGGTGATCCAAATTCGATCATATCAATAATTCAATATGGATCTCACCCTATCCGATCCAATTTGTTTCCTTTAAAATATCTAGTAGTGAAAGAGTAAGGACACATGGTATGCATGTGTAAAAAATATAAGGGAGTTAAATATTAAAAATATTTAATATTTGGACATGTGTCATTTTTAAGCATTAATCTCATATTTATATTATATTATATAGTGATATCGGCCACATCAACAACCTTCTCCTTACTCCATTACCCCAATCCTAGCTTCTCCTTAACTCTCTATCTTTCTTTCTTCCTTTACCCCTTCCCAACCCTTCCATGTAGCCATGTGGCAGCCTTCTCTTCACTAGTGTCCCACTCCAACTCCCTCTCTCTCATGTTTCTAATTACACCCCTCCTAAGCTATTTCTCCCACCTAAAACACCTCTTAATATATCCTACACGTCCAATCTCTTCCACTTAAATTATCTCTTATTATCTCTAATTCCTATTTATCCTCTCCCCCCACTTTTCATCTATATCTATCTAATGAAAGTTTGAATTAAAAATTTTAATATTTATTTAACTATTCTAACAAAATAATGTAATAACTTTAAAATATTCATTAAAAACAAAAAATAATTATAATACATTTAATAATGTTCAGATTATTAATAATTTTATATTATTATGAAATTCATAATGAAGTTATATAATAAGCAATGTAAATTATGATTTTATGGATTAAAAATTTTAGTAACAAAATTATTTAAATATTTCAATAACAAAATATTAAGAATAGCTAAATAATTATATAACAGAATATTCAATATTATGTAATAACTAAATACTATTTTATAAATTCCAAGAACAAAATTATTTAAATTTCTTTTGAAATGATAAATATTTAAAATATTTTTAAATATTTGAATAACTAAATGTTTTAAATAAAAATTATTAAAAACAACTAAAAATTATAACAAATTTATTTAATATTATGTAATAACTTTCAAATAAATAATACTTTTTTAATATTTTATTGTATTTAGTTTTTAATTATTGTAACTATTATATTTTTATTATTTATTTATTATATTTTTCATTATAAATTTGTTTTCAATAATTGTGTATTTTCGCTGTAAATTATCAATAATTATCGGAGACTAAACTATTGTTATTTATTGGAGATTTAACTATTAATTTTGCTGAAATTAGGAGTGTTCATGGATTGGGTTGATTCGGTTGCAGATTGTTTAGCCAACCAAACCGACTTAGTTGGGTTGGGGAGTTGATCACCCAAAACCGACCGATCATTAATGAAAATTGACCAACTCGGGTTGTATCAGTTTGGTCGATCGGTTCAAAAGATTTAAACTTAAAAATTTAAATTTAAATTTAAAAATTATAGCAGTATTATTGAAATAAATTAAAAATTTTAAAAATAATATAAAAATATAAATATATTAATTATTTAAAAGTTAAAATATAAAACAATTGTCTACCCTTACGTGTTTCTATTGTTTAACTTTCGCTTAACAAATCCCATGTATTGCACAAGGCCCCGCTAGTAAGAGTAAACATTGAAATGGTTCAATTGCATGCATCCAAGATCATCTATAACACCTGTCTAGCGAAATGGTCAATTACAAGTTGGAAGGGCTAAAAGACGGAACAGACTGAAAAAGGCTTGGATGGAAGTAATAAAAAATGATTTAAGCACATGGATATGGCACCATAATTGAACAGAATGACAACAGGATTAACGTAGACAACCCTATTGGAACAATGAATGAACTGCGATTACAATCTCCAGCACCCCCAAATAGGGCTGTCAGTTGGACTGGATTTGGTCCAATCCGATCCAGTCCAATATTGGTCCATTTACAAATGGACCGGACCGAGTCTGGTCCAAACCCCATACAAACTGGATCCAATCCAGTCCAATTGAAATGTAAATGGACCGGATTGGACCCAATCCGGTCCAAATTAAATGAAGCTTTGTTCATGAAACACGGATGTTGTTTAAAAATTACAGATTTACAGTCCAAACCAGATTGAAATGCAACACTTCATTCCATATTAAGAGTTTGTCAATATAATCTTTTAGAATTTAATTATTCAATACTAACACACAAAAAAAAAACAAACAATAGATGAACCAAATTCCAACCATCTTAACAAGTTCTTAACCGAAGAATACACGAGATACTGCATACTGTTCTTATGCAAGTTATTACTTATCAATTGAATCAATTGAATCCAAACAGATTCTGCTTTCCATTTCCTGCTTCTTGAGGAGCCACTAGCCAGGTACACTTCCCATGATGAACACCCCAAATAATCTGAGCACTTTGTGTAGGTGTATGGACACACCCCAAATGCTTTTCTCCTGAAATTTGCTGATTCTCTGAGAAACCATAGTCCTGAAACAAAAGCAATGCAGTTAAGAACGAACTCCTTATACTCTTATCCCGTGAAGAAAAAACAAATTTCAGCTAGGGAATTGATTTTCTGGCAAACCAGGAACATGATTTTACTAGGGAGAGGTGTGAGGACCCACACCAAAAAAAAAAAAACACAGTAAATGGGTCACACCATAGAGTTAGAGATTTTTTAGGTAGAAAATCAAGATATTAAATTGATAATCACCATGAATCTTTTCTGTCAAGATCATCCAACCCTTTATATCCAATTTATTACCTAAGATTTCTGTTACAACAAATCATCATCATCACTCCAAGTCTCCAAACACAGCTTACTTGGAGGAAACAACTACCCAAAAAAGTTGCCATCATCATCACTCTGAGTTCTGCAATGCCTGTAAAACAAATGTATAGAAAGCGAAAGAATTAATTAATCAGTGGAAAACGGCTATGGACATGAAAAATGATCAAGCTACCCAACTTCAAACAATATGTTTTACCATTTGAAAATGAACTTTGCATTGACTACTCTATCAGCCAATTAAACCACATAGTTACAAGAAATAACCAACACTCACGTCTAATAACCATTTGATTCAATCCAACTTGCACAGTTGAAATAAGTTAGTAGAATCGCCCCCATGATCTCTCTCTGGAACCTTGAATTTTGACCTGGTTACTAGTTAACCAATCCATGAGCTCCATGACCCATCACTCTCAGCATTCTGGTCTGATTTTCTGTGCAGTCCAAGTCTGAGAACACTGTTTTGACTAGAAGCTCTGCCTTATTTTACCTTTTCTTTGTTAACTCAAAAGATATTGCTGTCACAGGACAGCAACCCAACCATGTTATTTTTAATATCATCACAACCCAACCATGTTATTGTTGTCACAGACTCACATGACAGATGATGGACTAGGTGGGTGAGATGCTCATCTCTGACTCTCTGAGTAGTAAGTGGTTCATGTGTGCTACTTCTATCAATGGTTTTTGGAATCAGAAACATTTGAACTATGAGGGTGTTGCAGAAACGATTAAAGCCAAAGACAACAATATAAATTAGACAGAACAGAACATGCAATCTTTAATGGAACACATCTTCTATTTAGTATCCCCTTTGGTTCTGGAGTAAAAATATCATAGCACAGGAGGTGGGTGTTGGAGGCAGAGGACAATGATTTATATTAAGAATTTTCTAATAGTCTAAAAAGATCTTTAATAAGGATCTTACCAATTAGTAGCCCCTTTTTATATGATTAGTAATTCATCTATAAGTTCTTCTTATATAAAAATATAAGAAATGGGATTAAAAAAACATCAGAATTTTAGTTTTTAATTCCCTGTTCTAGTGAAATAAAGAATAACTAGAGTGAGTAATGACAATATTTAAGACACATTCAAAGAAACAGAGCAATTAACAAGGCAAAATTCCTAAGAATGCAATGGATAGTTCACTAAAACTAATCAATCATGTTATCTGAAAAAAAGCAGTAAATTAAAAAGTATATTACTGTTGCAATTCTAGAATGACCACTGAACAATAACTGAAAACTCTCCACTCGTGTTCCACTTCTAGCCCCACATATCTAGCTGCCACATATCTCACATGAAAAATAATTCACATAGAACACCCCTTCATCTTTTTCTTTCAATATTTTGAGAATCATCTCTAGATGTTTTTAGATGCAATCCTACAATGGAATAACAATATGGCCCATAAATTTCCTAAAACTAAAAACTGTGAATTTTATTCTGTTACAATCTCTCACTAAAAGAGAAAACCCTCTGATTCAGATAAAAATGTATCTCTATTTCTGGTTTGTCAACTGCAAAAAATGGATGTATTGCCCACTTTTTCTTGCCAATCAGTGCCTGAAAAGCTTGAACAATCCAGTTTTTTTATTTTTTTGGGTAAGCAATATCTTCATTGTAAAAAAGGATAAATATAACTAAACAAACGCAACACAACAACAGAAAACAAACAGACCAAGGTTACTTTTGTATATAAATATAGGTCTTTCACCAGAGATGCTCATGATTTGGTTCAAAAAGCAAAAGATGTGAAAGATGTTTATAATTGGTGGAACTGAAATAGCAAACAACTGGCCGGAACAACCACTACTTAACAACCAGGCATCTTAAGTTTGACTTTTCTAAAAACAAAGAAACAGAAAACAGACCGATACTACCTAAGACAAAGCAACATTAAACATCACTAGACTTAGCACAAACACAATTAGACAACCACTTCAAAAATGAATCAAATAATAAACTAGACTACAAGACAGATGAGCTGCACCATCAAGGAAGCCCACTGAGGGGTGATATATTACCTATTTCAACAATTGATTGCAGATCACAGAAGAGAGATGGCCGTTGGAGAGAGAAAACTGGTGGAGATAAAAATGTTAGAGAGATACTGCTGGAGAGAAAAATTGTCAGAGATAGCCGCTAGTGAAGACAATACATTTTCTGCACATGCAACTCAAGCAAACTAACAGAGATAGTCACTGACTCGCCAGTGAGAGAACCATCGGAAAAAAAGCTGTTGGAGAGAGTTCCCTTGGAAAAACCTTAGGTTGGAGACTTGGAGAGTTGGAGTCCAAAGTGAAGACAATATATTCTCTGTACATGCAGCTCAAGCAAACTGACGGAGATAGTCACCGACTGGTCGGTGAGAGAACCGTCGGAAAAAAAAAGAGCCGTTGGAGAGAGTTCCCTTGGAGAAACCCTAGGTTGGAGACTTGGAGAGTTGGAATCTGAAGTAAAATCGATCCTCAGGTGGTTTGCGGACTAATCGACTTCGTCCATTTCAATCCACCAATTACTTAGGACCAAAATAATACGGACCAGTCCAACCCGATGCCAAAGCATAGACCGTCCAACCCGTCCAATTTAAATGCGATTTGAACGGGGTCCAACCCGAATCCGGTCCATTGACACCCTTACCCCCAAGGGGCAAGGGCCCCAAGGCCCCCAACCTCACTTCGAAATGTGATTAAGCTGGAAAAATACCGTTAGGCTTATAAATTTTTATTTCCCTCGTAAACAAACATGTGGTTCAAGCAGCCATCCACCTCTTGTGTCACAGTTGCGGGAAAAGGCTTGTCTGCTCACATAGCTGACCTCCCCGATCTACTACATGAAGAAACACTCTATTTGGTCAAGATTGCAATGATGTGGCATACTCAAAACTCAAAAGGGCCAAGATCGTTGAGGTTCTACATCAACAGTCTTCCGCTGATCCCTGTTGACCTAATGCTTGATCCTTTTGCGAGTGAGGCTGTAAATGAAATGATGACAGTGGAAAGAGATCACTTCTACTTTGGTTAGCCACAACTCACAAGTCCCTCAGGAGAACAAACCTGGAAGGTGCCAGCTAATGGGTACATATCTGCCTTCCTTCAGAAACTCAAACGAACTTTTCTTGAACAAGAACCATTCAGGTTGGGGATAGTCAAAACTTCAAAAGATGGCTTAGGCTCTGACCTGTTTTCTGATGGGCTATCAACTAAAAGCAAGTAAAGGAGCATCAGCTTACAAATTTGATGAATATAGGTTAGTAGACCATTAGCAACTGCAGATGGGAGACAGTTCGGTCAGCACTAATTCACAGATTTGGACGCTGTTTTGTACCTTAAAACTGCTTCAGCAATCTCTTTATGTTCTAAAATATTTGTGCAATATGGGAAAGAAATCAAAGATCCAAAACATGCTCATTTGCTATTCTACAACACATTGACAACTAGGGGAACAATTACCTTCTAAATGATGCTAGTATATAGCTAGTAAAAATTGGTATCAGCATAGTCAGAACCCTGTCCTTGCTACTGGTTGATTTTCCTTTTCCCAGGTTCAAACCAACTAAAGAATATTCTTCTCTGGATGGCTTTTCAGCATCAGCTTTCTCATCTGCTTCATTTTAACCTTGGCTTTGGCTTCTGCAGATGTTGATAGAACAGCAATGGGAAGTTGGAACTTTAAGATCTTTATTCAGCCCAGTGAATGATAGGAGTGAGAAGAAGGGCTTATAAAATATACATGGGAATAGCAATACCAAAGCTAGATAAAGACAGCAAGACCAACAACTGCAGTGAACTCATCATGCTTCATCTTAGAATGCAAATTGATAGTTGCATTCCTTCTCCCAGCATCAAGAATTCTACAAGTCCAGATAATAAAGATAAATAATATGACAGCTCCGTGACAAACAGAATCCAAAACACCTTATGTAAGAAGCTCCAACAAATATATGGATTCATTTAGACTAGTACCTGCACAAGATATTCCAACTGCCAGGCCTGCATCATAACAAAAATTTGTATATTATAGGACTTAAAGAGCAAGGAAACAATTTGAGGACAGCAGATTGAAGAGCACGGTAAGATCCAAAAAACCTTTGCTTCATGAATGTTGTTCTGACATCATACATAGCCTATTCAAATCATTGTAGAATTACAAAATACAAACATAAGAACAAATATATAAAATTAAGGCTGGTTCTTGGGAGTAAGATTTTCACTCAGACTACAAATTTTATTAAGAATCATGGTACATGGAGATCACTCTAAGTCCACCTACCAACTTGTGAGTTTATTTCCTTTTCTGTGTTTTAGAACTCCTATCATAGTCATGACAAAGATTAAAGAAAAAAGGCCATTATCCAATGTTAGTCCAGCTACTCTGGGATCTTGAGAGGGGTGGACCGGATAGTTGTCTTTGTACTATTCTATTATTTTAGTATAAATAATAAGTGAAGGGGGCGGCCAGATTATTGCTCTCTTTT